GCCACGAGACGAAGCCCATGAGACCCGAGACCTCAGACCCGGGCGATGAGCCGCTGCGCCGCATCTGCTTCAAGCTGCGGGTTCTTTCTTTGCCGCGCCTGGACCGAGGCCCACCAAATGCACGGGTCTGTTTGGTTGGTTGTTACGATTATCATCATTATCATCATTATCATGACTCTGGGGCTGCCCTCAGATCCCCCGCTAAAAGTTTAACTTTTAGTGGGTTAAATGGATTCTACCAATAAACACGGATGGCTGGGAGCCACCAAGGACTATGATGCTGTTGTGCATAAGGGACATCCGCCACGGCAAAGCTGAGAATCAGCACAAACGGCTTTTGGGGGGTGACGGCTGGTTTCTTGAACCACCCCTTCCCTCTCATTCCCTCTCAAGGTTGACAAGGTTCCGGAAATCAATCCAGACTTTGGGGTCCCCCCGGCCAGATTTAAATGGGACCTCCAGTCCTCTCGATGTGCCTCGACAATAGGACTGCAAATAAGGAAAGTGAAAGGAAACCGCAGTTTTCATTTCCAGGGACTGGAGAGGCAGGATTCATCAGAGGCGGGTTTGTGCTGTTCGTGTGCTATTCGGGCGGGGGGGGGCTGGCCTTGAAGGGGCCGGGGAGGGGGGAAGCGGGGACCGTGTACGTTTTTTGTTTTTGTTGGTTCCCCGAACATATTGTAATGACAAATTTGCTGTTGCCCGTCTAAAACACAATTGGAATGGGGGAGTTGGTCGTGGCAAAAGTATTTGAAGCATCTTTGGCAGTTTAGTTGTTTTCTTTGTTTTGCGGATTTTGGCCTGTAAAGCGACGTCTTTAATCAGAGGGGTTCTGAGAGGTGCCAGAAAACATGCTCAGAGAGCCTATTGGCCCAACCTTGCAATTGTGAGTGCCTTTAAAAGTAGTATCTGGCAGTCGGCTGGAAAATGGGAGTCTTTGATCAAAGGGTTGTCTTTTTTCTCACGTGCCGACAACATTTTTGGTGGAGAGCGGAGAACTCAAACGGGCAGTTTCAGCTCAGTTGCCCAAAGGACCCCCAAAACAAGAGGGCAGCGCTCTTGGTCATGATAAAAATGGACCCATCAGGTCATCAGGGGCAACGAAAAGGTCAAGTGGTCCATTTGCTTTGGGCAAGTCAAGGGTGCCGCTGAACTGGAAGCGGCAAACAGGTCAGCGCCGACAGGTTTCGCATCGGAAGAGTTGAACCACGAGAGGCGTCCACCACACTGTTCCCGGGTAGTCGAACAAGGACCGTAGCTCAAAATGGGCTTCGGAAGCGCCTCGAAGCCAAAAGCAGCTGTGTTGTTTCAAACAAACCCCAAAATACCCGCAAAGAAAGACTGAAAAACAGCGCCCGCGTGAGCTCGAATCAAAGTGAGCACTGCCAAATGCTGGAGCTGCGCAAAGCGATGGACTTGGGCCATCCCACGGCCCCGAGTGAAGAGTTTTGGTCGCCACGTAACAGCCTTTTTGAGCGCAAAACAGGGCTGCAACAGAGTTTGGGGTGTCTTTTTTGGGTGTTGGTACCCCCTTTCTTGGTGGTTTTACAGGAAAACCAAAAGGAACACCGAAGCCATTTTGGGGGAGCCACCTCAAACAAGCATCCAAATAGAGGAATCAGGATAGTTTGGCGCAAGCCGATGAGATGAGGCACACCTGTGAAATGGTGAAGTTTGTCTGAGCATCAAGCCCTTTCCACCAGAGGAGGAAGGATCCTCAGAGAAATGCCAGAAGCAAACAACACGGGATATATAGTTTGAGCAAACCTCTCGCGATTTGCTCTTTAGGCAACGAGTCGCGCCTTCTTCTCTCTTTCGCGCTCTGTGCGACGCATGAAGACCTCGATGTTTTTTCGCGGCGCTTGGAATCTTTGCCCGCATTGCGAGGGTTTTGATATCGGTCTGTGCTTTTCGGCCTCACTTCAAAGGGTCAAATATTAACTTCGGACTCCGAAGGACAAGCCGAGGAATTGACTGGAACCACTCATTAAACGGGGGGAGTGTATGGTCCTGATGAATCCGGCATGATTGTTTTTTTTTTTTTTAACGGAGGAATGGTCCTTCCCTTGGATTTCTGACCGGGTGCTGCGAAGATTTCCTCCACCCGTCGGTTCCGCGGGGGGGGGAAGTGACCACTTCCCGTCAAAGCCCTGGGCCATGAAGTCCTGGATCCGCACGTCGCTGGACCTAAGGCTTCGCTAAAAAAAGAACAGTGATGGATCCATGCCCCGAATTACTTCGCAGGTTTTATTGGCAGGGCTTCACGTTTGCCGCAAGTTGTTAGAGAGCTTGGACTGACCGCTCCGGCAGAATCTGGGGATCTTGCACCTTACCTCTTTCTTGCCCTTCTGAGACCTGAAACAACGGAGACCGTTTGTCTTTGCCTAAGGTCACAAAGAGCGCAAACAAATGAAAGCTCCCAAAGCCTTCGGCTGTATTGAACCGCTGGTTGATTCAAGTAGACATGCGGCCGGTTTTCTTGAGATTACACAAATGCTACCGGCACAAAAGGCAGCTCAAAGGTATCTGTGAGAACCCATTGAACAGGTCGTCCAACAGCCGGGCTTGCAATCTTGGTGCACAGCCAGCATCCTGAAATGATTTTAAGGTCCTTTGGGCAGGGTTTGGGGCTCTTTGCTGTTGACCCCCCTGCAAGAAGTTTAACTTTTTCAGGGTTTAGTGGAAACCCCCTTGAAAGCCCCTTGATTTCCCAAAAAGTTAAAGTCTGAAGATCCAACCCAACTAAGATTCAAACCAGGGGCAAAAAGCGGAATCCCAAAGCGCCCACTTTAGTCTTTAGTGCGGTCTTTGGTCGCAACTGCTTATTTGCCCTTGGCTAAGTTGTCGTTGAGGATTTAAATCCCTAGGCTTATGATTGAACGGTTCCCCAGTGAACCCCCTTCCCCATTTCGTGCATGTTGACCCGGATGACTTGACCTTTCGGATTGATGTGTGGTCCTCCAAAAGTGATCTGAACCCTAATCAAAATCGCGGGTTGTCAATGGGTTCCCATGGAAAGGAAACCATGCCAACCCAGGGGATACATCGGGGAAATTGCCCGTTAGAGGAAATTGATCCGGGTCGCCCCCGCCCATCATAGGTCCTGTCTGAGTGGGTTTGAGCGTGGTTTAGCGCAGTCGGGATGATAAGCCCCATGTTCTGAGCTGTCTCCGAGGAACTGAGGTCTGTCCAAAGGGTGCAAAGTTTTGACAACCCTTGGCAGACGTGTAGTGTCAGGTTCAGGTGGATGTCTCCCAAGACTCTCCTCAAAAGCAATTGGTGTCTTTCAAATTACCACCCAAAAGGGGTCCGCCATTTTGAGAAGGGGGTATCCGGTGGCTTGGGGTTCAACCTGAAAAAAGACCAGCTATATAGGTCACTGCCATTGAAAATCCGGAACCGCTGAGTGGCGAAAAAAGGTCCCTCCCATTGTCCATGTCCTCACTTGCGATCCATTGGCCCAAAGCCCCAAACTTCTGGTGTACTAAAATGGCCGTGGCTCAAAAAATCCTGGACTTCCAGCATGGCTTGCGGCAAGTGAAAACATGGACCACAACCTGCGGCTTGCCCCTGCTGCTCAATTTTGAGCCACACCCAAATGGGAGCGATCGAGCGTGCTTCCCCTCGGATCCGGTTTCTGGGATCCAACGTCCGGTTTCTGGGCCCCGGACAAGTTGGAATCCAAGGCTCGCCACAAGCCTTTCAACCTGAGCCAAGTGGCAGTGCTCGAATCTCTTCAAGCCCTTTTCGGGGCTGCTTAGATTTCCCCCGAACGCTTCAAAGGAAGTTCGTTGGTTGGACACCGTTGGCCATTTCTGGGGCGTCGATTAGTTTAAGACAAATCCCACGTTTCGGGCTGGGATTGGGTTTGGATCTCAGCCGGATACATGGCCATGGGTTCATTTGCCCAGAGGACCTGGGAATAATAGATTAGTCTTTTGGAACATGGACCAAACATGGACCAAATCAGGGAAACCAAGTCCATAGTGCATGTCTAACACACTCCTGGACACCACAGTTGTGATGTTCAAAGGACAAGTTAAACGAGCACGTTTGATAAAAAAGTGCTGTCTTTACTGGGAGCCCTAGCATGAGTAAAGTAAACGAAGGGTGTCTTTTCACGCTGTTTTCACGAGGGTTTCACGGTCTTTCACGGGTTTCTCACGCACCTTTCACGGTGTTGAAATCCAGCCTCTTGACAAAGTGTTGGTTAAACGGGCACTTTGCGAAAGTGCCCTCACAAAAAAAAGTCGAGCCAACTCGTGGCAATGCAACGACGGAAATTCCACCGACGCAAGCCTGTCTCGTTGCCGTGTGCCGTGCTCCCAAGAAGCCCCCTTCACATGCAGTGGAAACGGCTGTTGATTGAAGCCCCCACTCAAGATGGACAAAACCTGACGCGCAAGCAGCCTCTCTTAAAACACCCAAGAAAAGTCAACAGGGACCAACTGCTTGGTCCCATGTTCATCCCATGAACATGAACCCCGAACCCAGAGCCTCGCGCAGCTCGTCGAAGTAGAGACAAAGTGACTGCCCCAATGGTTTCTCGTGGTTCAACAAAGGCAAACAAATGTGACCACGATCATTTCCTTGGAAACCCGAACCCCAAAGGGGGCCAGCACTCATTGGATTGGGTCTCCAAAACCAAAGGAGAGCAACCAAGCAGCAAGAAACCAACTCGCCGCTACGGCCTTGAAACACGGCAATTTAAGCCCAAAGTCAGAGTACCATCGTTTGCAGAGCATAAAGTCGATCCCGAGTAAGGTGCCGTTGAACAATAGGCATACCATTTGCGAGTTCTCTTTTCGTTCAACGTGAACGCACCAACCACAGAAACCCAAAGGGACCTACCAATTCACAGACATACTTTGGTCTCTTGGGTTCATGCAATGCGGGCTGAACTGTGGCACTTGCCTCATTCATTTGCCCGGGACGCATTCGGAACCCATCAATTTGCGCCGGTCCTCTGAGAAAGTCTCGACGGGAAACCAATGTGAAACCTACTTAAAAGGGGCCTGGGCAAGTGGGTGGTCGGTGACCCTCAATAAGCCACTTACCAGTGATTGTATAGGTTATTAACCGCAAACGGAAGGGGGTCCCTTCATTTGTAGGGAATCACCAGGATCTTGTCCTTAAAATTGTAAAACAAACAAAAAGAACGGATGGCCCGGTGCGTGAGAGCGAGCAAGCATCTGCAACGTGTGGTTTTCCTTTGACCCTTTGAAACAGGCCAAACAAGGGCACTCTCACGAAAAAGGCACGAACAAACTCAGCAGGGACCTTTTGGTAGGTACCGGAGTTTTCATCGGCGGCCCTTTCGTGGACATCATTTCGGTGGGGGTTCATGTTCACCAACCACTTGTGGCATGGTTCGCGCGCAAACTTCTTTCAGATGGGGATTCATGCCCAACGCTCCACGTTGACACTGGCAGCCATGGACCAAGAAGGGAGAACCCGTCCTTTAAGCAGACTGAGAACCAGCAATGAAGTGAGAAGGACCCCCTTTTGGTTGCTTTGAAGGAAATCAAAGAAAACCATAACTCGTCAAAAGACAGACCTACCCTCGGGCGCCGGCTCTTGATCCGACACCTTCTTCTTGTTGATTCCAAGGCCAGGCCTGCAGCCATGACTTCGAAGTCTCTTTGGGGAGACGCATTTTGCCTAACCCAACACACTGTTTTCGGACTTTCGTGAGCACAGTGTTTTGGAAGTCCACAAGTGTATTTTTTGATGTTCTGCTACTTCAGTCCCTAATCAGCATGTACGGACTCCCGTTGATCGCCGGCGAGGGCTTTGTCAATTGCTGAACAACAAGAATCACTTGGTTGCCATGAGTTAACGCCTCACCTGCAAGCTATTCGGATGCAGTGCTTAGGGCCAGGTCACAGGCAGGTCAAACAAAAACAACAACATGCTCAAACTGGAACCTCTGTCAGGCAGCAGGAGCCTTTAAGGCACAGTTGTCGGGCCAGGCGATGTGCTGGAAGCACAACCCGAAGTGAACAAGGTGTCAGTTTTGACCATAGCGCCGATCGATTGCTGGGAAAAGGGTACCATCAAGCTGTTGATGTTCTCACTTCCTGAATGCCAAACAAGTCCAAACGTGTTATTTGCCTCTAGAATTGTCTTTGCACAAAGCAAAAAGCGCAGGAACTCAGGGAGTAAGTTGATTCGTTTCAAGGACCAGGTTTACAGTCAGGAACGCATCGAGAGACGATTCGGTTGGGCTTCCTTCTATGGTTTGGGATGTGAAGGTTCCAGGCTGTCTAGAACAGAAGCTCATGCTCCCCTTGAAACCAAGCAAACAACATAGAATAACAATCCACAATGATCACAAACTGCGACAATCAACGCATAACAATGTTCCCGGAGTCTTCAGGCAATTTGTTCTCTCTTTTCCAGACAACTTGGGGTTGTTAAAACACAAATCTGGACCCCCCGGCTTCGACTTCGCCATGTGGACACCCGGACGGACCACCGTGCAGAAAACAAACACCAACGGGTCACAACACAAGGAGATGTTCAAACTGCCCTTTTTGGGAGAACATGAGTCAAGGGTCTGTATTTGTTTTGAGAAAACTTTTTTTTGTTGTTGTCATGGAACACCAGACGAGAGCAACATCTGGAGAAACCTTCAGCTTTACAACACAAGCCAACATGAGCAACTGACTATATTGCAAACCAATAGCTGCAAAATCGACAGGGGACGGCAAACCGATACCCCGGCAATATCCGGCAATATTAATATTGTCCGTTGCTCTTAACGTGCAGGGCTAAATTGGTGAGTCTCCAGCATTTTGTGAGAACATCAGTGAGTCCCCCTATGTCCCGCCCAAAATGGGAACCGAAAATAAGAACCCCGGCTACTTGGATGATCCCCCCTCTTCGGGGTTAATATCACCGTGTCTAAGTCCTAAGTGGAAACAAGGGCACCCTCAAAAAGGGAACTACACCCATATTGCCCATAGTCTTGCCGTGGTGGCCCTGCTCCCCCTCAGAAATCTGGGCGTTTCCCGCGTGCGCTGGCGCACCATGCCCTGAAAGTCGTTGAAGTCGATGCGCCCCGAGTTCTGGTCCGCCAAGCGGAAGACCTACGCAGTGGCTCCCGCTTTTTTAGGCTTGTTACTAGTCTTTTGGGGTTACCTTAGCGGGACACCAAAGGGAACAACACCAAGCACCCAACACAAATGGAGTTGCTTCAAAGGAAAAACACCAAATTTTGAGACACAGCCACGTCTCCCTATGCTAAGAAACCATCGAAAAAAGGATGGATAGATGCTTATTCAACCTTTTAAAAGCAAAAAGGCCAAGAGTTACCTACTATCCGGTCAGTGGGCGGAAAACTAACGTGTGTCATTCTGGTGGTTGATTCCTCGTTCTTGTCAACTATTCAGCTTCCGCTATTTGGTGACTTGGAAGTTAGGGGGCAGCTTTCCATTTACCCTTTCCAAGAACAGAGGTTCAAATCCCCAATCCACCAGTACACACCAATTGAGGGGAACCTGAAGCATCGTTGTTAAAAACAAAAAAAACAAGATGCTCGCCCTGCAGTTGCTACAGGTTGCCTCGAAAGACAGATCCCTGGAAAGACTATGTTGAAGCTGCAACGAGGTATAGCTGACGGAATGACTTGTTCCAAAAAAATGTGACATGGGACGAAAGGTTGTCCCCCCACCCACAATTTTGTGGGGGAAGAATCAGGTTGTCCCAACATGTCCTCCACAAACCGCTCGCACCCGACTACACAGAATATAGCCAGTTGCTCATATGAGTACCTGACAACATTTGGGGTAGTCTGCTGCAATTCACGAGCTGAGCAACCAATTGATTCAGGCGGTTCGAAAGCCACTACTTATGACATCTAACATCTGTGTAACCTTGGAAAAGCTAGACCAAAAACACACATAGACACATGGGAATCCCTGCAAGACTATTTTCCCCAAGGCGCCTTTGTTCGCGGTTCCATATTTGTTTGTCCGGGAGTATTTCTTGCACCCTGACAATGACTGTAGCTTCACCTCGCTCTGTTTCCCAGCCTTGAACCAGTTGTCCCCTGCGCGGTACCACCTGGGCCCACTTTGGGCACAGGTCACACGAAAGCCGGACACATTTGGCATTGGCGTTGTTGCCACCAATTGGCGCATTGTGTGTGTGTGTGCGCGGGAAGTTAAACAAATAAATAAATAAAGAAATAAATAAGTGTATATATATATATGTTTCTACATATTTGGATTGATCGGCCGGAAAAGAAGAGGTTACCCGTTGGGTTGACTATGTTGCTGTCATCGGAATACTCCAAGGGGCCCCCGCCCAGAAAACGGGGGGCTTTTCCAGGCCAAGCGGCTTTCCAATCGGGGGCTTTTCCACTAAAAGTGGACGAAAGTCCTCAGGGACCGAGGGACCGGCCGTCGGGCCTTTTGTGTGACCTACGAGAAAGCGCCAAGCGGGAGCTCCGCCTCACCTTGGGCTGGGTGGGTTTACTATCACAACGCAAGAAGGGAACCAAAGTAAGACTGACAGCAAGGGAACTAGGTCTTCGAGTAGAGAGGCCCTAGGGCGGACCTAGGGAAATTCACTGACCATCAAAACTGGATGTCGGCGCGAGGCCCCAGACTTGGCGGCGGCTCGATTGATGGTGGCCACCGCCCGCGGCCTTGGGACGTGCGAAGGAACGCATGCTCCCTGGAATCCATGGCTCTGAGTGTCAGATGAGAATGAGCCAACTAAGAGCCATGGCTCATGAATTCTGAGAATGAGTTGGAACATGGCTCTGAGTTTCAGAGTTTGCGGTTCCAGCTAGCATTCATGGCCAAACTCACCTAAAAGGACAGGACACCTATGAGCATCCCAAGGCCTGGGGCCAGCAGGGGTCCCGATATCTCACCTTCGGGTCCCGGAACGTTGACCTCTTGAGATTGAAAGCCACTGAATTTACGGAGCCCTAATCTACGGTAGTGGTTTTTTTGGCCTGGGCTTCCTCCTTGCTCCTCAGATCCCTTAGCTCGCAGTTCACCTATGGCTCCAGCACGTTGACCTCATCAGCCGTAGGCCAGGTGGACAATTCCAAGCGATACCTCGGCTCGACGGATCGATCGGCTTCCAGCGAAGTCCAGGTCACTTTGAAGCCAGCCATGGCCCATTCTAAACAAAACTCTCCGGGTGATTTGAGGTGAAGCCCTCCTGAGTGGATTGGTCAACAAGTCCGAACTGTTTGATCTAGGTCCTCCAGTAAGGGTACCCTTTTCTCTGTAGTCTATCTTAATAGAGGAACCCTCCCCCCAAAAAGGTAAAAGAGCACTACTGAAACACCTAGTTGATCACCACAAAAATTGTCCAAACCCAAAAAGTGCCTCAAGTCCAGGAACTCGGGGAGAACGCCCTTTTTGGAGCACATCGCAGCCAGACCGAGAGATACCGACCACGAAAGGAGGCAACTCGGTCGACAAAACCCCCGGTTGCTGGTCACGTGGCTCGTTGTTCTGGGACTTGATACCCCCCATGGCTTCGGATGTCCTTTTGGTTTCCCTTTAAAACCACAAATCAGGGGTGCCCCCAAAAAACAGACACACCCACTTGTGAGACTTGGGCACTGCTCCTTGGCGCTTGGATTTTTTTTGCGCTCTGGCCGGAACCATATCGAAGTTGCTCTCAAGGAACTCACGGGCTGAGGCCCATGGGAGCACACGCCGGGTTGCAACTTGGCCTGGAAAAAGTAGTTCCCTTTGGTCCATTGGCATTCAACAAAAAACTTCCTGAGGGCCCGATGGATAGAATATGGGCCCCGGTGCTTTTGGCTTCTCCAAGAGCCACAGGCTTTCCATAGCCCTCAGCAGCTGAAATTATGTCCGAAAGCTTTCGCGGAGATCCATGTACCGCAGGGCCTTTGCGGCCTTTGTCGGGAAAAGCTTGGCATTCAGGCTGGGACCCTAGCCACTTGCTTCAAACATGTGGTCTTAATTGGACAACCCTGATCTTCAAGAGACCGCTTTTCAGGTTCTTGCATGGCTAGTTTTAAGCGGAGCTGCAGGGACCCTTTGCTTCTCTTGTGACTGGTGGGTGTGTTCTTTCAAAGCCCCAACATACAGGAACTGTCACGGATGCGCAGACACAATGCAGCCACTTTTGTTGGTTTCATGCGTATGGGTGTGACAATGTGTATCCACGAGTGCGGCATCTAGACTAGGTCCTCCAGTAGAGAGGTTAAAATAAGAGCACCTTTTTTCTGTAGTCTATTGTAGTAGGGGAACCCTCCCCCAAAAAAGAAACGGTAAAACGGGCACCAATTGCTGGAAAACCTAGTGATGACTCGCAGCCAAACGACAAGCGACACTACCGGTCGCGTCTTGGGTCCCGGCAGCATTGAGGACCACTCGGTGGCCGACACCTGCGAAAGGAAGACGCGGATTTTGGGCCCGGCTGGGTGGGTGAATCACACTACAATGTCCCCAGACCGGTTGGTTTTCCTTAGGTTTCCCTGAAACACATAATGCAAAAAAATGGCTCCCATTCAGGACCCTTGTAGCAAATTATCAAAAGCTTCCTGTTTCAGAGTCCAAGCATACACGACTTGGCTTCCCTGTGCACAACCTCGGCAAGTCACCCTGTACCTTCATACAGGTTTCCCAATCTTGCGGGAATGCCAAAACAAAGGACACCAAAATCAAAACCAAGCGAAAAGCCGAAGGAAAGCAGCAAGGAAGCCTTGTAAACCAAGCAGACAACATCAAGCAAAACAGAAGCAGAAGAGGAAGACGATTTCATGAACCGTCCCAAAAGGAGAAACACCCTCAAAACACGGAAGCCGACAACCTCACCTCCTGAGTGGATTGGCCAAGAGCAAGTCCAAACAATTCTTACCACTAACATGGTCCTCCCAAGTCTAAAATTCCATGAACGCGAGTGAGGACAAGGCTTCCGCAGATGGAACCACACCATTCTTCTCGCGGCTTTCGAGGCTCATCCTTTTCGAACTGGCAGGTACGCTCCCCCATCCCCCCGAGAAGCCCAATGAAGGCGAAGCCCCGAGCCCTCCATTGGACACCCCGGAACCCCGAAGGTGTATGGGACCCGGTCTCAAAACCTGGCTGTTCGAGGGCCCTAAATCAATCGAACTGGAGCCTCTGGGTAAAGCGCGTCCCCGCCTCGCCCGAGCCGTCCAGGTCCGCCTCGGCGAAGAGCACCCGGAGGTCCTCGCGCCATCCCCGCCCAAAAAGTCGACGCGGGCCCAGTGGCCCAGAACGGTTTAGGGATGTTCGGAGTTGTGCGTTTGTTTCTCTCCTGTCTCATGGGCATAGGCAGCTTTGCGGGTTGGCAGGCCCTTTGCCCAGTGGTCCTTTTTTGCCCTTTGTTTCGGCTGGTGTCCAATAAGCTCTCCAGAAAAAATAAATAGAAAACAATAAAAATAGAAAAACAACTTGGGAGAGCGTGTCCCTTTCACCTGAACCAAGAAGTTTTGGCAGAGAGTGCCCATCAAAACAAAAATCGCAGAGTCTAGGGGTTGATTCCTCTTCCATTCTTTTCAACCATCGTCCTTTTCAAAAACCGGCTGGCTGTTTCCCCTGGGTTCTTGATGGTTTCCCGAGAATGCCCCTAGAAAAAGGGTCCCTGTTAGGGAACCCCCTGGCAAGACTGTGTTCCTTTTGGTCGAAAAAGCTGGCGACCTAAAACATCAAACCCAAAAGGACCAAAGGCAACTCGTTTCAAAAGACCCTACAAGGTGATGTCAAACAAAACGCTTCTTGTTGTTTTTTTGGTGGACCTTAACTTTCCTAGCCAATGGCCAGGACAACAAAAGTTCAATCTTTTTTGAGTGTAGCAAGAAACATGCTATGAAAACCGCCCACCCCCCCACAGGAGAAAGCGCCTAAGCTATCGAACGTTTCAGTCTTGTCTCTCGACATGTGTCAGCTGCCGCATGCTGCCGCTACTTCTTTTTTTCCCAGCTGCTCACAGCTGAGCCCCAACCCACGGTCAGCTGATTTGTCACAGCTGAAGATCGCTGCTGCCATACACACATTGTGCCACAACTGCCTTGAACACAGCAAGCATCTCTCTTTGAGGCGCAGAGCCGCAGCGCGCATGCGCTGCGCTGACTGTACCACAGGCCACGTTGCCGGATCACCTTCAAGGCCTTCAGCCACCTCGACCAGAACTGTGGCGGCTATGCGGGGATGCGTCACTTTGGATAGAATAGCGTTGCTTATTTTTGCGAGCAGTGTCAAGCAGCATAAGCAACGCAGGCTCCGGGTGCGCATGAAGCAGCAGCGCGCAAATGCGCTTCTGAAGCGCAGCACGCGCGCCCACCTTGCCAGGTTTTTTCACCCGGCCTGTCGACAGATGCTGCACTTGCAGCCGCCTCCAGCTCAGCCACATCTGCGGGGCCCTGCGCTGGCTGCAGGCCAGCAAGCTCCTCACAACGTTTGCGCTTGAAGCCCGCCAGACCTGGGTGTGGCTGCTGGGGCAAGCACCTCCGTGGCATGGGTCGACTGCTGAACAGCGCTTGATGCGCTGCCGCACAAGGCATCGTATTCTGCAAACACTTGAAGGCAGAATCTGCGGCCGGAAGTCTGCGAGCTGGCCAGGGGCCGATGTGTTCCGCACCACAGCTTCCGGAAGCGGTCCATCAACGCGAGCCTTCAGCAAACCCCTGGCGCGGAAAGGCGTGTTAGACCACGCACGCATGCTTGCACTCTTTTCGGACTTCAATGGAGCGATGCTTGCACAAGAGCCACCACAAACTGCCAGCCTGATCTCGTACATTTCAAGCAGACTGAAATTCTGCTCGATTTCGCTGGTACTTGCCCACGAAGCGAGAAACAGAGACACCTCGCACAGCTGCCAACAACAAGTGAAACCGCCTCAGAACAAGCCAAGGCGAGGACGCAGCGTGTGAGCGCCGGCGCACGGCCATCCCAATGCGAAGCAGCCAGTCCCCAGCACCACAATGTCATGGACCTGGCAACACGTTGGCCAAAGCGGTGCGCAAACCGCATGGCCACGGCTGAGAACTCGGCCACCAAGGCCAACAGGAGAAGAGAGCGAGCCGTAAAGAATCCGAGAGCAGACACTGCGCCCATGCGGCATTGACGTCTTTCCCTGCTTTGAGCTCGAGAAAAGAGAAAATGCAGCTGATGTTGATGATGACAACCTGGGCTATTTCGCTGATGGTACCGAACCGCTGAGGAGCAAATTGAAAATGAAGAAGCTGTCCGAGCTGATTGTCCAGAGCCGTCAAAGTCTGTTGCTTCTTTTTCCACAGCCCGGCAAGCAGGCGCGGGCTGTTCCGCATTGCTCGGGGCAAATCCTCCAGGGTTCGCCGGTGCCCGACGAGTAGGCGGTGACCCAGGCCTGGATCCCTTGGTGATAGAATGAAGCCTGCAGCGGAAAATGGCTCGCAAATTTGGAACAACATCAGCTTGCCGGGCAACTCTTGCAGACAGCGGTTCGCATCGCTCGCCATCTGAGACGAACACCTGTAGGCGCAGGCTGACAGGTAAACTCAAGAAAGCACGCTCCACAAGCGCCTCCGTGCGCTCCTTCAGAAGCTGCGCCACCCGCTCGTTCCCGTCTGCAAATCGGGCAAGGGAGGCAGCAAGGCCCTCCGCTTTTGCCAAGGCAGCCTGGCACAGCGCGGCTTATTCTGCGGGACCGCTGGCTTTTTAGTGCAAGTACGCTATGGGCATTCGAGCCGCCAATGCTTCGCACGTCCAAGATCACGGTCCGAACGCTAAAGTCTGATAAGACAAAGTTGGCCTTCAGAAACTCGTAAGAGCCACGCTGACACACTTTGGTACATTGCCAAGCAGCTTGGTGCTGCCTTTCTGGAAAGTCACGTCTGGAACTTGCTTTGCCGCGCCACTTTGTGCAAACTCCCTGCAGAGAACGCACCCCAAGCCAAAACGAGAACCTTCTGGTGGTGCGCGGGCAAGCCAAGATTGCAGTGTACCTTCTGCGCGCGGGCTAGTTCGCACGCAAGCTAAGCATGACGCAAGCTAAGCATGACGCAAGCCAAGCATGACGCACACAGGCATCAAATCTTAAGATCCGGATAGGCTAGCGGCCGTTGTGATCATACACACACCGCTTCCTCCAATAGTCTCCATGTTTTGCCCACAAAGCTTCATTGTCTACAGCCATGGCCAAAGGGCCGCCCAAGTGGCTCAGAGCTTAACTGAGCACAGTGCGCAAGCGCGCTTCTTACGCGTGCCTTCAGAACCACTGCTGGGCCAAATCACGCAAACCATGCATTCACAGAGCTGCCGCGACAAATGAGTCACAACCATGTGCCACGCCGGCCGACGTGACAATGGCTACTAGACATGGGCAAAACGAGTCTGTTTTTCATTCAATCAAGTCGAAGTGGTAAACTCAAGCCTCTAAACACCTCTTGCTTCCACAGCGAACATACAAGCGTGTTGCAAACATGGAGGAGGAAGAGGAGGAGGAGGAGGAGGGGGGCTCACTCACCGCAAAACTCTTTGTCGCTTGCTTCCCATCCCTTGTCCATTTTCGGTTGTCGGAAAAACCTTTCAACATCCTCTCAACATCCTGCCAACTGCGCATGGCTTGGTGTCAACTTTGGATTAGGGCAAGGGACCATACGTATCAATTGCTTTCTTCCCGTGGGTCAGCTACGCTGTGCAGCAATGGCGCTTCTGCGGCACGCTGCGCACCTCTATGTTGAAGCGCGCTGTGTAGCAAGGCTATGGTGACACGCGCTGTGAAGCAGAGCTATTTTGAACCGAACGGCGCAGGTAGGTCGATTGCGTTGCCCTACTGCGCAGCAATTCTACGTGAAGAAGCGCTGCGCTGCAGAGCTATGCGGTGATCTGTGTTGAAGCGAGACTGTGCTGAGACAAAGCGATGTTGAGACGCGCTGTGCAGCAAGGCTATAGGTTGAAATGCGCCTGCGGAGCAGGGCCATGTTCACAGGTTCACACGCGCTGCGCAGAAACAAATATGTTGATGCGGCAACAAGACGACGTCGAGATGCTCTGCGCATGCGTGGCGGACTTGCACAGCAAGGCTTGAGACGCGTTGCGCAGCAAGTCTACATTGGCGCGCGCTGTGCGGGGAGTTTGCCTTTTTGAGCTAGAACCCTTTGCTACGCTTTCAGTTACACCAGCATGGACCCCAAATAGCGAAAAACGAGCCGATGATTGCGCACCCCAGCGCCCCAGCACCCGGCCGTAAATGTTTCAAAAATGCACCCGGCCCGCACCGTCACCAGCACTTCAAAGCTGCGCCCGCACAGCACCCCCCCCAAAAAAAGAGAGAATCAAACTGCACTCTGGCCCAAAACAGATTTCCAGCACCCCAATCTGCACCCCCCTAGCACCAAACCGTCAGTCTTGCAAAAATCCGACCCGGCCATCAACCTCGCAACAGAGTATCACCTGGCCCCAGCTGCATGCCATGCAGCTCGTGGCACCTAGCGCCGCAAACCGCATGCCCCCCAGCACCCTGCCCAGCACTTTGCTCCAGCTTTAAAACTGCGTTGCCCTTAGCACCGTCGTGCCGTCAATCTTGCTCAAAAATGCGCCTGCGTGCCCGGCAGTCAGTCTTGCTAAATAATGCGCGTGCGCGCCGTCCCAAGCACCACAAACAGCGTCCCAAAACAGCACCTGCGCCAGCACCCGAACTGCATGGTTTTGCATCCTCTTAGTCTTGCAAAAATGCGCCCGCGCCTGACACAGCACCCTATAAGCAGCACCCCAAGTTCCCGCGCAAATAGCAACCAGCCATCTTTGAAAACACAGTCCCATGATATAGTGTCGCATACGCGCTGCTGACTGCAGCTGCCTCGTGAGCAATCTCCGGACTTTTACTTCACCGGGATCTGATTCTCTCGGAGCTTCTTTAGCAGAAGCTTACCCGATCGTGAAACTCGCCGCGATTTATTCAAATCTGGCGCTCTTGCGCGAGAAAATGTCTTCCCCGCAGTGAAGCAGGAAATGACCTTCATGAACATGCACGAGCTGCTTTGCGCACACGCAGGCGCCACACGCTCTTCGAGCAATGCGGACACCCGATCTGCCAGCTCCAACATGTTCAGCACGAGGGCCCGCTTGGACTTGATAGATGCCAACGAAGCGAGGCTGAGAAACGCCTCGGCATTCGGCCCTCCCGGAAGGTCGGTCTCTAGCGCCTGCGCGCCTTGCTCAGAAAGCATCCCTGCAACGCGAAGCGTGTCCAAGCAGTGCGACAGCTCAAGGCTGCCAATGCCCGGCCACTTCGGCACTAGCGCTGCGTCAAATATGAGCTGAGACGTGTCCTCATTCTCGAACCGTTTCTTCATAGACTCCTGAGCTGCGGCAAACAACTCATATCTTAGCCAAACAAACTGGAAACAAACAAAGACCATAGTGCGGCCACAAGCACCGACATAAACCAAAAACAAGAATCGACGCCTTGCTGGCTGTCCTGGAGTCTTTCAGAAAAGTTTGAAAGTTGGGCATTGGAGAAGAAAGCTAAAATGGCTTGGTTTTTCCTTCAGAACCACAAAACAAGTACCAACTCAAACAAATACCCCTCAAACGTCTTCAGATTATGATTCTCACTCGCCCAAAACCTGGACATGGAAGGTGATCACCTTTGACCTGGACTATATGTGGACCGGAACTAACAGGAAAAAAAACTATTAACAACAATTTAAAAAAATAAAGCCGACTTGTGGGGCAACTGAGGTTTCTGATCTGCTGAGCTGGTAGACATCAGACATGTCCCACCACTTTGGAGGGGGTTCCCAATGAGCATTTTCAGCCACAATCAACCTACCCTGAAAGATATAGCTTGGGAGGAGACCCCGGAGCAAACCCCAGTTAATGACCCCCTGGTTGACTAAGCAGGGGCGTGTCTCAAATAAGAGGGACTCCCCCAAAAATAATTTATGAGGTTGACTTATCCGGTGTCGACACTTTGTACTCCACATTGTGGACAATGAAACTTGCGCGATGCTCTCATTTTGAGAGAACCTCTGGGCATCTTAGGGGTTCCCAAGGAAGCCGACCTCTAAATCCCAGAGACATGGGACTCGCACCCGTCCTCCCGGGTGATGCCCTTGAGCACCGGATCTCTGGTCTCGGAAGCGAGACGGGTTGGCTGCAAACGAATCAAGCGTCCCCCAACTTCAATCCCAAAAGCAGATTCCTCCTGAAATATTTGTCGAAATTCTGGAAGGGTATATCCCACTTGTTCCACGAACATTGTCATGATTAACCCCCTCTTGTGGTCTCACTTGTTGAATCAAACCTACCATACCGCTATGGCACCTGACAGATACATCTCTGCTTTCTTACCGATGCAACCCAACAAGGGGTCCCCCAAAAGAAGCATCCTCGAAGACGCGATGGCTTTTGTTTCATGTTGGCAGGGTAGACCCTAAAATGGCACCTGACAAGGCGCTATGTTAGTGGGAGACAGAGGGTACACAGTTGCAACCAAGGATCCGAAAGGGAGACAAAGAAGGAATCTCTGCTTTCGGCTGGAATGCACCAAACAAAAAGGTGGCATTGAACTTACTGGGTATGAATCAAGGACCTTGAAGCTCTTTCAGAACTCCCATTCTAAAGATTCTAAAGCGATACTTCACCGGTAATTAACCAGTGAACTAGGGGTGCCTATCAGCAGTTCATGTGTGGGTGAATATATTCGGCCTTTGATCCACACGAGCAACAGTCAATGCGAAGTGGACATGCAAAACATAGGTCATCCCCAAATTACCAAAAACTGTGGTCATCACTGAACAGGGGCCAATTGCCAAGCAAAGTGCCAAATGCCCACTTTGGGTGAACTTGTGAGAGGGTTTGCCCCTAACATGAGCCCAAAGGATCTCAAAGTCTCATTTTACATGCCCAAGGTGATGTCAAACCAAACAACTTTGTTGAGAGTCCGAAGTCCTAGACAACGCCCCCACAAGCTGATGGCTGAAAATTTCACGGACCTCACTAGAAGCATTCTGCTGGCGCAGGACAGGTTGTCCTTCGATGTTTATCCGTCCATTGGGTTGGTCAAACTTACTGCAAACAGCAAACCACTCGTGGCAACCCTAGGAATATCTGCGAGGGTAAGCCTCAACCGAACTGGGAAGGCCCTAGTGACCTCTAGTCTGTACTCACTTGCCATTTAGGGCCTAGGGACACAGAAATGAAAGGTAAATATCAATGTTGACCCCGGACTCATAAACCCCTGTTTATTAATATGGGGGCGGCCCTGGTTTTAGTGGGGATTTCTCACTTTTGGATGTAAGCACCCCCTATTCAATCCGGGGTCAACGTTCACCAACAAGAGGAAGCTAAAAGGTCGGATCCGGTCGATTCGCTTTGGCATTCTCCCGCTCGCGCCTCATCAGCGTGTGGCATTGAGGCCTCACGCAAACACACCGGAGGGGTGTTTCGCTGAGTGCTGGAGATGGGTCTCAGGAGATTTCCTAAAGAAACAAATCCAACGTCCGAGAGCCCAAATGCTTCTCAAAAGGGAACCCAAGCAGTGGGTGCTTGTCCTTTGTTTTGATTCAAAGCAATCCATGCTGGTTCAAGCCTGAAACAACCAGCTACCGTGCTTTCCCAATAGACCCGTGGCAATGGGAAAAACAGGGGTCCTTTGGTCGATAAAGGGAACTCCCTCCCACCAAAAGGATAAGTTGAAAGCCACGGACACTTCAAGAAGGGGTGTAAAGCGCACTGGGCACTGGATGGCATCTGGATGGCCATCGCGATTGATGGCCTTCGGATGGCTATCGCGAGTTTATTTGTTTCTGCATCCGCCAGCCGCGGAGCCTTCGGACGGCCCGTCGGATCCGGGTCCCGGGCCCTGGCGGAGTTCAGGGCCGTGCGGGGCGAGAGCAACGAGTCCGAGTGCTTCATGAGCAGCGCCCTGAGCGACGAGCGATGGGTTCCCGTGGCGTTGCTGCCTCGTCCTTTGCGGGGGGGGGGGGGATTGGGGGAGCTTCTTGTGTTTAAACAGAAACCGAAAAGAAAAAAACAAAAGTCATCTGGAGGGTCCCTAAAAATCGTCGCATGCCACCTTTTGGATGGCGACAAACAAGTCACCTTTTGGTTGCCACTTTGAGCTTCCTTGGGGTGATGTGTTTAAAGAAGAAATATCGGGAACTCGGTGTTTCTCAGCAGGGGGATCTGCTAAAATGACCATGGGTGTCTTTTCAGGCTCGGTGCCCTCTGTGGGCTTGACATGAAAAACTGTTTGCAAAGTGCTTGGGATCTTCAGCTTGGGAATCAGTCGACGGGTGCCGCATGGCTGGATGTATCTGGAAAATTCGCAGAATGGTGGACACCGTTTTCCCGCTGCCGAGTTTCATTATCAATGTTCGGCCATTTGCTTTTTGTCCCCTGGCAACAAATGAGAGAGTAGATCCAGTAGTGAAATCAATTCCCTGAGAAACCAAGAAACTCAACAAAATATTCCGAAACGCCAATGGGAGTTTTGAGAACCGCCCCAATAGGGCCCCCCCAAAAAAAAGAAGAGGTTGGCTTCCTTATGGTTTTTCTTTAAATCCCCAAAACGGGTACCAGCTCAGTGTCAAGTAACGACAACTCCATCTCCAGACGTCCGGTGAACCCCCGAAACAGCTCCCGTCCTGAGATTCTCCTCGAGTTGCTGGAAGTTCAGGCGCCCATACCTTGTGCGGCTTTCGGATGGACAAAACGGGTGGTTTGCAGACGGGTGGTTTGCCATTTACCCTCTAATTACAAGAGCCAGAAATGTTGATTCCCCAAACCACCAAACTCCCAATTCAGGATCGCTGATTAATAAAGGGCAATTTGGGGTCAGATTTGCCTTTCCCAAGTTTTGTGCTGGCTTAGTATTGGTTCAGTACTGGTTTATGGTGGGGCTTCTTGAGGTTGGTCTCGGGTAGGTTTAGGGCTGGTTTCGGGTGGGTTTAAAATTGGCTGCAACCACCCAAGTGGGCTTAAACGCAGCCATAACTGCAGCCAATTTTAAACCCACCCGAAACCAGCCCTAAACCTACCCGAGACCAACCC